ATTTTTGCTACAGGTGAGAATGTGTCATGGTAGTCCAGCCCTTCCTTTTGATTATAGCCCTTAGCAACCAGTCTTGACTTGTATCTTTCTACCTCTCCATTAGCCTTGGACTTGATCTTGTATACCCACTTGGAACCAGTAGCTTGCTTCCCTGCTGACAGGTCCACTATCTCCCAAGTATGATTATCTTCAAGAGCTTGGATCTCCTGTAGCATAGCTGTAACCCATCTAATATCAGTGGAAGCCTGCTGAAAAGTGGTAGGTTCAACTTTAGCTGAAAAGGCCTGCAAGTATGCTTGATAACCTCCTGTGAGATTAGCATAAGTAAGGGTGTCAGTCAATGGATTAAGCATTGCCTAGAGAACTTCTGAGTAGTTTGGTAGTCCTTCAACCAAACTGGAGGTTTAGATGTCCTAGTAGTCTTCTTAGGCTCTTGATCACTTCTAGCCACAGGTATGCTATTGTCAGGACTAACATTTTTCTCTGGCTCAGTGTTTGGAACTAAGTCAGTGTTGGTATCTTGCTCATCATGCTCAACCTCTGCTGCTTTTGTGTTTTGGTGTAGTGATCAAGGTGTAGGACTTCTGTAGTAGGTGTATTGGCGTTCTCTATGACTGGAATATTGTCTGTAGGTGGAATGTGAGGGTCTGTGGGTGTAGGCAATGAGGAATCAGGATGTGGTGGTATAGAAGCTTGTGTAGGAAATGGATCTTGAGGAATGGTTACATTTTCCTTAAAAGGGAAAATATGTTCTCTAAAGCTAACATCCGTACTTACAAAGATAGTTTTAGTTTCTAAGTCAATCAATCAATACCCCTTTTGAACTTCTGAGTAACCTATGAGGACTAATTTTCTTGCTCTCTTTGCAAACTTATCTCCTTTTGGTAAGTTGCTAGAGAAACATAAGCAACCAAACACCTTTAAATGATCAATAACAGGTGCTTTATTATACAAAACTTCATAAGGAGATTTTCCTTGCAGTATGGATGTAGGCCACCTGTTGATTAGGTAAACAGCTGTCTTGATGTTATCTCCCCAGAATCTACTAGGAACAGAACTCTGAAATTGCAATGCTCCAGCCACCTCAAGTATATGTCTGTGCTTCCTTTCCACCACCCTATTCTATTGGGGTGTGTATGGACAACTACTTTGATGCACAATACCTAAGGATGCTAACAGTTCATTACAGCTGAAATTAAAAAACTCTCTTCCATTATCAGATCTTAACACTCTAATATTCATGTCAAACTGAGTCTTTACCATTATAAGAAAGTCTTTCAACACTGTTACAACTTTACATTTAGACTGCAATAAGCACATCCAGGTATATCTACTAAAGTCATCCACAACTGTAAGAAAATAATGTTTTCTATCATATGTAGGCAACTTGTGAGGACCCCAAACATCAAGATGAATGAGCTGAAAAATACACTCAATCTTGCTGCTACTGAGAGGAAATTTCAATCTACTTTGCTTAGCTAAAGGACATACTTCACAGTTATGCTGTAAACTATCCACTACTTTATTTTTCAAGGCAGAAATATGCTTCATTGCCATTATTGATGGATGTCCTAATCTCATATGCCAAAGACTGTACTTATTAGTGTCCTTGTTGACCAATGCTACTACTGGCTTGTCTCTCCATTGAGAATATAAAGTCCACTGTTCTCTCTACCAATCCCCATCACCTTCCCATTGTAAAGGCCCTGCAATACACAAAAATCAGGGAAGAATAGAGCACAACACAGCAGCTCCTTAGTCAATTTGGAAACTGACAATAGATTGAACTTAAAATCTGGAACATATAACACATCCTTTAGTTCATATCCCTATAGAATTGAAGTATTTCCTTTGTGTATTACTGAACATTTGCTACCTGTTGGAACCTGCACTTTATAATTCCTGTGTTGCTCAATGTTCTCTATGTTAGATAAAATTTCTTTATGACATGTGATATAATGAGATGCTCCTGTATCTACTACCCATTCACATAAAGATGCATCAGACAACAATGTGGTTATACCTGCCATTAGTGTATGACAATCACCTGCAGGTGTTTTGTTCAGAAGCTCCAGTATCTGTTTGTATTGACCTTCAGTGAACAGTTGTCCCATCTGTTGGCCTTGAGATGAGCTTTTAGTTTCTTCTGTCATCATGTTAGCATAAGTTCTGTTTCCTTGTCCTTATTGTTTCTTCTTGCTCTTGAAGTCAGGAGGATAACCTATAATTTTGTAGCAATTTTCCTTGAGGTGTCCTTTATATCCACAGTGTTCACAAACAATCACAATCTTCTTAGCCTTATATCCTTGATTCTGTCCTGCCATCATAGTTAAAGGTTCCCTATTTATCTTAAGTACACTTAGTTCACGCTGGCTTTCTTCTTGATTGACCAAAGCATATGCCTAATTTACAGTCAATACTGGTGTCTTAAGCAATATCTGACTTCTCACCTGACTATAGCTTTTATTAAGCCCAACTAGGAACTGTAACAAACGCAGATTCTTAAATTGCTCAATGAAAGGCCTAGTTTCTTCATAGTCACAACCAAGCCCTGGAACTAATAGATCAATTTCATCCCAGAGGTCTTTCATTTTCGTATAATATGATGTTACAGAATCAGTACCTTGCTTTAATGATCCAATTTGTATCCATAAAAGGTAGAAACGAGTGAGATTAGATTTATCAAACCTCTCCTTGAATTCCTTCCATACTGTTTTTGCATTTGAAGCATAAATGATGCTCGGCTGTAATTCTGCAGATACTGTACGTCCTATCCATAAAAGAACAACCACGTTACATCTTTCCTATTGATTAGCCAATTCTCCTTTGTAAGAGCTTTTCAAGCAAGTTCCTTCTATGAAACCTAGCTTGTTTTTCACCAAAAGTGTCATCCGCATCGATCTACTCCACAAACCATAATTTTCAGGTCCGGTGAGCTTGATATCGTGCAAAGCAACTCTAGGCGTATCTGTAGCTGCTAAAAACAGAGGATGATTGTGATCAATTGGGAGACTTCCCGGTTCTGCCATGGCTTATGAAATCGAAGCTTCTAATCAGTGTTCGATGTTCAGATCTTGCAGAAGTTCAACTCGATTACAACAACCTGCTCTGATACCATGATAGAATTGAAATTGCATGCAAGGTTTGAACCCTGGAATCTAGAGAATTCGGAGAAGAAGAAGAAGATGAAGGAAGAAGAAGAAAATTTTATTTCATTTTCGGCTAATCACTGTTACAGGACTCAAACAACATTTAACTAAAATTAACCAACCTACACATGCCTCTCACATGTGTGTATATGTATTGACTAAAATACCCTCGCTTAACTAACTTAACTCTCAATAATCTTTTTCTTTTTTATGAAAATGTGGTAATGATTAGAGTTTAATAGTCATAATAAGTTTAGAAGATTAATCATGAAAACATGCATTTATCACAATTTTTGAAACATGACCTTTTCTTTTCCTTTACCTTTCGAGATTCTTTCTTTTCACCTTTGTGCACTTTTATCATTACCAATTTAGCCTCTTTGCTTAAACTATGCAGCTTTTTACCTTATCGTATCCATCTCCTAAATCTTCCCTTTTAACTTTTTTTTTTTCTTTTATTATTATTATTATTAACCCTTTATGGGGAGGTTGGAGACTGGAGAATGATACGAAAGGACTTTATTGATCTAACATTTAATAGAATCATGGGGGTTACAAACGAATTTATTATTCCTTCTTCTACCTACAATTATGCTATTAATTTATGCATACCAACATAAAAAGATAACTCAATGCAATTAAATTCTCAGTGTTAAAATAGTAATGAAAGAAAAACTTGCAAAGTTAGATGCTAGTTATATGCAGAGTTATAAAATGAAAAATAATATTAAAAAGGGATAAACAAAAAAGAAAAATACTCAAAACAGATTCATTCTCCTTTTAATCATATATATCTGTTTTTAGGGTTAGAAATTGGTGGGTCGACAGTCTGGTTTTAATTTGTAGGACCAGCTTCACTATCGTAATTCGTTTCGTCCACTTTAACCTTTTTTCCCACTAAGAAAAATTATACAATTATGTTATTTAAATGGTAATGTATGTTAAAAAATTGTAAACATTAAATGATAATTGGTTGTCTTATAAAAATGGAACCTAATTACCTACTATGTAGATTAAAGTACATGGACAGTGTAAAAATATTAAAGCAGGTAATAAATCTTCCACCCTTTTGAAAATCTCAATCATCTAGATTAGTAGATCTTTGATTTCCTTTATTTGAATCGCCTCTTATTATTCAATATTTCGCAGTAACCCTAATAGAGAAAATTGTCAATTTTATGGTTTTATTGGTAGAGGTTTTCTTATGAATTTTTATTCCTAGTCTCCCCACAACGCACTTTTTTGCTTGCTTTTTAGTAACCAGAGTCTAAAAGCAACTAAAATCTAAAAACCTGTTTGATCCAAGAAACAAAATTTTAAATTCTCATTCGGTGTTCAATATTCATGTTGAGATTCGACTAATCTGAAACTCACAAGGCTCATACTCTGCTAATTTTTATTTATTTATTTCTGATAAAGGACGGAGGAATTGTATTCATCGCATAACAACCCGAGTGGTACACATTTCCATACCGCTAAATTCAACAACAACAACAAACTCAACATAATCCACAATGTTATTTCCGATAGATCCCGACTAAAAAAAAATAAGAAAAAAATAGTAGCAACAAGCAAAAGCACAGTTCAATTCAAGAAACTGAAAAATTAATTGTCTATGAATCACATCTTAATTGTCTTAGTCAATCATCAATTCCAATGTTACAAGAAACGGAATAAAATAGTAACTATTTTACTCATGCAATTTATACCACATTGCCGTCTTTATTATTCCACTTTGGTCAACTTAATTAGCAATATTTTAAATATAGTTATTTATTTAAAGAAAAAATCACTAATTATATTTTTTTTCCCCTTTTAAAAGATACTCAGATGAACTGTCTTAGCATTCTTCCATTCTTTCCCTTTCTCCCTTCTCATAAGTTGCAAAATTTAAGGTAAGAGAGAGAAAAAATAAAAATCATATTTAATAGCCTTTACGTGGGCTTGTCAGTAAAGAGAAGAGAATTTATACTTCCACCTTCCTATGAAATTTCCCATTTAACATTATTCCAAAACCTCTCTTCATTTTTCTTCTAAATCTCAGTTCCCTTTATTTTTTCAAGAATGAGGGATTTTGCTTCTTGTTTTAGTGAATATACAGTACAAGTAGTATCTGAAACTACTTCTTGTTCTAGTTATTCAAACACTTCTTGTTTTCCTCCATCTTTAATCCCTTCAACACAAAACAGTGTTACTTGTTTGTACAAAGTTATTTTGTCCAATCAAAAACATGTTTTGATCACTATTACATGGTCCAAAACAAATACTATAACACAAGGTTTAAGCATACATTTTGGTGATGATCCTTCAAATTCATTCAAACTCAACGCCAATTCGCGTCTTTTTAGGAAGAAAAAGGGAAGTAGAGCACTGGAATTTGGTAATTCTAAGGCTGAAATTTTATGGGATTTATGTGAAGCTAAGTACATGTCTGGTCCTGAACCAATTAGTGGGTACTATGTTTTGGTCATAGTTGATTCAGAAATTGGTCTAATTCTTGGAAATATGGCTGAAGAAGCTTCATTTAAGAAATTCAAGAATGGTTTTCCTATGGCCAAATTTACTCTAATTTCAAGACAAGAATATTTTTCAGGGAACACCCTTTATTCAACAAAGGCTCAATTTTGTGACAAGGGTTCAACACATGATATTTTGATAAGTTGTAGTGGTGAAAATGAGGGGAAAGATAATCATCCAGTTTTATCAGTTTCTATTGATAAAAAAATGGTGATTAGGGTAAAGAGGCTGCAATGGAATTTTAGAGGAAATCAAAGTATATTTTTGGATGGTTTGCTTGTAGATCTTATGTGGGATGTACATGATTGGTTCTTTAATCCAGCTTCTGCTTCTGCTGTTTTCATGTTTAGGACAAGAAGTGGATTAGAGAGTAGATTGTGGTTAGAAGATAAAGACAAATTGAAGCACAAGAATCAAGATAAAGTTGAATTCTCATTGATGATCTATGCATGTAAGAGCACATAAATATTTTTAGAATTTTCCCTCTTAACCCATTTTTTGGTTTAGATTTCTCATTTGCACTTCATCTCTCATGAAAGAACAAAAAAGCAAAAAGTAGACAAGGGAGAGAGACTTATTCTTTTGAAGATAATGTTTAAGATATGTTGTATAGTCTGAATTAATTATTATGAGAATCTAATTGATTGTTTTTACATTTTTCTTTAGTTTATCAAAGTGGATGTGCAGATAAAAAGGAAGAAAAAAGAGAAAAAGGCATCTTATGACTATAGTATAAGATTTGAATGTAAGTTGGGAATGTTATCAGCTTTAGGAAGACAAGTAGGGTTTTAGAATCTTTCGATAATGATCTTTCTCCAAAATATTTTCAGTTGTATTTTCTTGGTAAATTACAAAATTATCTTTCTCCAATTAGACTGCAAAGAAAACTAAAGAGATTTGCTTTTCATAGATAAAAGGCAAGGAAAAGTAGTGTCTTGCTTTTAATATATGCTTTTGTATTAGTTGAACACACAAGATTTTCTTCCCCAACCATATGAAATTGCCAGATAGATGTTTGCAATTTGGCTATCCTCTCATTTATCATTAGGACCACTTTGTGTGGTAGGCCCTTTTATTTACTTCTTTTATGCCCTTACATTTAGGTTTACCTTCTATCTAGAAAATACCAGATAAATCCTACACATTTTCATGTTTCTAATCACTATTTTTCGTTTAAATATCCTCCTAAAAACGTTCAAAATTGAAGTTTATTTTTGTTATCCCAAGTTAAAGTTTACTATTGTCTTCCTCTCCACAAAGGGCATGCAGTTTGCAAATGGGAATTTCTAAGGCAAAAGATGGGGGGGGGGGGGGATTCGATTATAATATACAGTCACACCTGTCTATAACAATATCTTTATATAACAGCCATTTATTATAAAAGTTAAATTTTTTTCAGAACCAATTTTTATAATGTTATAATATATATCCTATATAATAGCACTTCAGTATAACGGCCAAAAATTGAAACAAATGAGGTTGTTATAGAGAAATTTGACTGTAGAGGGAAAACAACATAGTTGAAGCAACACAAGTAGCTTTGATTATGTGAGACTAATTTCCAAATCCCAAAAGTGAAAAATGTTAGTGATTCTTTCCACCTGTCTAAATAATACTCCCTCCGTCTTAAATTATATGTCATATTTCTCTTTTACACGCTCTTTAAGAAATAGTAATTAGAAGGATTATTTTGACTATTTTACCCTTATTTATGTCTTAAAATATAATCTATCTTTAAAATGAGAAAAAAAATTAATTTTGTCTTGAACTTCTAAAATGACAACTAATTTGAGACAACTATTTTTAGAAACCATGACAGATAATTTAAGACAGAGGGAGTAACAAAATTAATCGATGATACGATTCGTGACACAAACAACAAAATAAATGCTAATAATTTAAAATAAAATTAAAGATAGAATTTGATTAGAAGTATAATCGAATAAAAGTTTATCTGTGCTGATGAAAAATAATACTCCCCCCGGTCCAAAATAAGTGATTTTTTAGTTGTTTTCACACAGATTAAGAAATCCACCTTTTAACATTAATTAGCTATGAAATTAATTATATTAACCTTCACTATCTCCTCACATAAACACTCCTAACACATACTCCAACACTATTTACTCTAAGGGCAATGTAGGAAAACAATAATTAATTCATTCTTGAAATCTGAAAAAATCACTTATTTTGGACCACAAAAAAAAGGCCAAAAAATCACTTATTTTGCACCGGAGGGAGTATATTTTTTTTAATTAGTCGAGATATGAGCAGTTTGACTCAAACAACAAAATTAAAAAATTAATTAGTTGAAGCATACATCAAGTGACACACACGGTTGCCAAAAATGTTTTGTTTGGAAATACCATGACTATATTAAAGTAAGTGTACACTAAATTTAATATGCAAAAATAAAAAAATTGTACTGAAACCAGCAACTCTAATAATGAAGGATCACAAGTTTTTTGTAGTATACTCTGAGCAACACTGACTATAGAAACATGAAACAAATGAAGACTGGCAAATTAGTAGACAACTCCTAGTGACAAAGGTGGACCAGCCCTAAAATGGGACTCTTCCTTCATTAAATTACACCTTGTAATTATATACATCAGACAGTCTGTCCTTGATAAGAAAGGTAAGGCCAATGAGCATTTTTTTCATGAACCATATTTAAATTGGTACCCCATAAAAAAAAACAGAAACATAATGTACTTATTTATTTCTCACATACGAAAATGTATTTATATCTTAGTTTGCAAGAGGTCTATTTGAGGAATGGTACATCTGTCTTTATGATATGTTGATAAATTTTACAAATTTATTCTTCTTGAAATGTTTTTATCGTAGATGTCACAATCTAAGCTCATGACACGTACTGTCCGCTTTAGCGCAATAGGCTTAAGAATTTATTCTTTGGACTACGTCATCATCAAGCCCAAAAGTGCACATACTCTGTAAACTTATGTTATGCCTTATAAAACTTTTTATTTTCCTCTCTTATTCCGATGGGAGATTCGTCTAAAGAGTGATGTGCCTCCCTTCTTCAAAATTCCAAAGTGAGATTCGCCTAAAGTGTGATGTGCATCTCTTATTCAGACGCATGCCAGCCTAAAAGCCTATCATCTCTTTGACCCACCCTCCATCATAGGCACCATAGTTTGATTTGATTTTAGCTCCCTTTTTTAAGCTTAATCAAAATATTGCGGAAGATCGTGGATTAACTAGCACACAATCACACACAAAGCAAATAGAGAAGAAAAATGAGAAACTACCAGCTATGTCCATTTATAAGTAGCTCATTACAAAAATTGGGCAATTCATAAATATTAATAATATTAGCCAAATATTACTAATATTAGCCAATTAGCTATTTGTAGCAGAAAAATATTAATTTTTTATTTTCTTTTGAGTGGGTGTTATTAGAATAGATTGGGTACATCTTAAGAAGCTTGAATCTCACTTTTGGGAAGATTTGGTGGAGTTTTCAGCTGGTTTGAATTGAAAACTCGAAGTAAAAAATGAACATGAAAAAAAAATGATGTGTATCATACTGTGTATCATTTATGTATCACATATGTATCATATTTGTATCAATTTTGTATCACATATATATCCATGTACACCTGTGTGTGAGATACATGCGTGATGCATGTTTGATGTACATGTGTCGCAGAAGAATTTTTTGAACTTGATTTAATTACGAATTTTGATACCAAACCAGTCCAAATCACCTCCAATCTTCCTCAAATTCTATATATCGATTTATCTATATGTTTTCAATGAATTTCAACTATACCCATTGAAAAAGGTCACTTTTTGCTTAGATTTTTTAATATTGTTTTTTTTTTTTTTTGTATTTTATCATTTGCTACCTCATCCATGAAATTTCCTTTTCGTCGTGAATCTAATGTTGCTAATCACGCTTAAAAATATGGAAGGTAATTTTTGCATGTGATTCTTTGAGAGAAAGAACCTTATTTATTTTGTTTTTCAATTTTTATATGTGATTGGCTAGTTTTGGTAAGTCTATGACTAATGGCTAGAGGTTGGTAAGTTGAGACTTATTTGGGATATTTGTGTAAGTTAACTACCAGCTATGTCCATTTATAAGTAGCTTATTACAAAAATTGGCTAATTTATAAAAAATTTACTACTATTAGCCAAATATTACTAATTAGCCATTTAGCTATTTGTAGCGAAAAAAGGTCAAATTTTAGCTTTTTTTGAGTGGGTATTATTAGAATAGATTGGGTACATCTTAAGAAGCTTGAGTCTCAGTTTTGGGATGATTTGGTGGAGTTTTGAGGTGGTTTGAATTGAAAATTCGAAGTAAAAAATGAACATAAAAAAAATGATGTGTATCATTTGTGTATCACATATGTATCATATTTGTATCAATTTTGTATCACATGTATATCCATGTACACTTGTGTGTGAGATACATGCGTGATACATGTTTGATACATGTGTCGCACAAGAATTTTTTGAACTCGATTTAATTACGAATTTTGATACCAAACCAATCCAAATCACCTCCAATCTTCCTCAAATTTTATATATTGACTTATCTATATATTTTCAATGAATTTCAACTATACCCATTGAAAAAGGTCCCTTTTTGCTTAGATTTTTGGAATATTATATTTTTTTTTGTATTTCATCACCTTATTTGCTACCTCATCCATGAAATTTCCTTTCTGTCTTGCATCTAATGTTGCTAATCACGCTTAAAAATATGGAAGGAGCTTTTTGCATGTGATTCTTTAAGAGAAAGAACCTTATTTATTTGGTTTTTTAATTTTTATACGTGTTTGACTAGTTTTGATAAGTCTATGACTAATGACTAGAGGTTGGTAAGTTGAGGCTTATTGGGACATTTCTATAAGTTTCCCTTCAACACAAGGATTTAATGAGGTCCGGCTAAGCCTAATCCTCGGGGCAGAAGAAGAGAGAGTTTTCCACTATGAATGAGAAGAAAAGTACAATACAATCTATAGAATCCCCAACTACAACCCCTATATATAGATCCAAAATAGTCCCAAACCTATAAGAGAAAGGTTTCCTAATTTAACAAAGACTATAGGTTTTCCTTTCCCAAATCTATTAGGACAATGGATTTTCCTGCACCTATAGGGATTATGGGTTTCTTAAAAATACAAAAAAATAATTCAAGCCACAAAATAACAAATCTTCCCCTTGGCTTGAATTCTCTTCATCAACAGGAACAACGTCTCTCTACCTTGCCCTCAGTCCTCGCAAGGGCTCTACCTATAGCCACATACATCAACCAAGTCTAGGCAATGCCTAAACTTGCTAAGAGACTTAATCTCTTCAGCCATAGCACTAATCCGTCGATTTGGTTCTGTACTTGGAATAGCTTCTGGATAGCTATAACACTCAAACGCATCAACGGTCTCTACAACTGCCAAAGCAAATCCCAAAGAATTTGTATATCCAAGAAGATTCCCATCAACTACGTTTGCAAACCTATGCGGTCGGTTGATCACTCTCTTCTCTCTGTATGTTGCAATGCTATATGGTTGTTGTTGTGTAGGTGCATAAAAAATATCATCTTGATCAATATTTTGTACCTCGTCCACTTCTTCTACTTTGGAACTACTGGGTTGAGCAAGTGGAGATCCAATATCTAGCTCTATGCGGGACTGACACCACGATCTGTTTTCGCTATTGCCTTCTCCCTCTGATTCTTCAGTGAGGCAGATTCATTGAATGTTACATCCCTACTAATAATTAGCCCTAGAGTCTTTTGATCAGTGCACCACAAACCTTATACTCTAGTTTCATACCCTAGAAATATGCACTTCTTTGCTCCCGGCTCAATGTCACGACCTGAATTTTC